GCCGGGACGGGCGGCGCGCGGGCGTCGAGGGGCCGGGACTGGCGGCGCGCGGGCGTCTAGGGGCCGGGACGGGCGGCGCGCGGGCGTCTAGGGGCCGGGACGGGCGGCGCGCGGGCGTCTAGGGGCCGGGCCGGGCGGCGTACTGGCGTCTAGGGGCCGGGACGGGCGGCGCGCGGGCGGCTAAGGGCCGTGACGGGCGGCTAAAGGGGCCACTAGGGGCCAAGAGAGAGGGGAGCGCGACCCGGGTAGGGGCAGAGTGCGCTCCGGGCAGGAAAAAAAACGGTGGGCCCTAGGAACAGTTCCCACGAGGGAACCTGCTCGATACCATGAGAAAAGTAGAACGAGAATGAATGAACTATGAATGAAGTGAGTACATATAGGAAACCCTAATTGGGTTGTACCCCCTATGGGATACCCCACTATAGCCTACACAACAGCATAAGCTATATATATGTTCTGACAAGAATTACAGAATGACGATACAATGGAGTTGACGAGGCCTAAATAGGGGAAGTCCTAGCTAGGCGGGGAGGTAGGGCAAGATGGCTCGGTGATGGTTGCGATTGGAGCGGAGGCCGACTCGGGAGTGGTTCGGTGCGACGAAATAGGAAGGACAGGTTCGTCGCGTGACCCTCGGGATGGCCTCGCTAACGAGTGCCTCAGTAAGGATTTGTAAATCCTTACACTCTCCCACCTTCTAAATAAGGCAGCCCTGTACTGAGAAAAGGCCCCACACTAGCGAGGATGCCGTAGATCTCCCCTTCAGCTGAATCCGACGGCTGAAATGCCTTTGACAATATTTTTGAAAATGTTGGAATGTAGGCCGTTGATGAAGTTCGATTTCGATCTGACGGTCGACGATGAACTGGCCCAAAATGAAGTAGAAGTTGGATTGTGGGCCGTTGATCGAGAATATGTCGATCTGACGGTCGAAGATTGTCGCGAGAAGGGAGGGAAACTGCTGACGCGAAATTCAATCGCGATGTAGCAGAAACCGTTGATCTTGTCGGTGTGATCGCGATCGTCCGTCGTGCTGACGCGTCCTGACAAAGTCAAGAAGAAACTCGAGAAAACGCCAAGGAAAGGAATAGTGCAATGCACTTTCTCCCCCCCTCCAAGAAAGCACACCAGAAAAGTTTCGCAGCTGCGCCGAAGAAAAATCCAACAAAAATCCAGGTGTTAAGTCCCACGAAGAGCGCTGAGTGGTGATGCCCGGGCGAAAATGCGTCGGTGTGGAGAATAGATGACGAATCCAGACGTGACGTGCCCCAAAAGTCTTCAAGGGCGAACCAGTAATTGTAGCCCAGAAACCGCGGCGGAAATTATGCATTGCTCGAACTGAACATGTTTTTTCTTCACTCGCCAGAATCATGCAATATCTTCAGCAGTTGCAGCTGGCAGCACTTGACGTGGTCGAATTAAATGCAGTTGTCGTGGGTGGAGGCGAGTTGAGCGTTTTGTCGCTTGCAGAGCTGGAAGTCTTGTCCCGAAATCCTCTGGCCGTGAAGTCGGGGTTGGTACGAAAATGTCGGCGCTGAAGGCGATTGGCAGCGAGTCGATAGACGAGAGTTGGCGAAGGTCGTTGAAGCAGTAACCAAATCGAAAAATCTTTCCGAAAATATTGTCGAGCGCAGATCCAGTGTCAGATGATGTCAGCACCTTCAGCGGTTTTGTCCAGACTCGCCGAGCTTTTTGTCGCAATTCGCCGAGGGCTCCTGGGCAGAGATGAAAAATTGCAGATGTCTCTCCCCCTCTTCACTGTTGATGCCGCCTTCTTCAGTTCGTCGTAAGTCGTTCGTACCCCTTGAAAGTCCGTGTAAATCTCGCGGTGTTGCCCACTTCGTTTGACGCGCGCGTTTAACCAAAACGCCGCAACTCCTCCGAAATTGTCGGCGCTCCTTGCCGTAAAACCGGTAAGTCCCCAAGTAAACCCTCCGAAATGGTCGCTCGAATCAAGCCCCGTACATCCGCAGTGGCAGGTGCAGTTCTCCTCCGAAATCTTCGGTCGTACTATAGCCGCCCACTCGGTCACCAGCTGTTTCCGTCAGTTCAGAACCCATCTGGGGGCATAATCTGGAAACCGGGGACTAGACCTGGGTATTCCGAGACCGACTTTCACGGATCCTAGAGGCATCAACGCCATTGACTCCGTCGTCGAAACTGCTCCCGCCGATGTTGTTTAACCGAAAACCCACGTTTTCCCCACCAGCGCTTTGCAGATGTTTCACCGCATCGCTCGTCGCCGGTCGATAGTTCCCAAAGCTACGACTGCTCCCTCGCTCCCTTTTTTCTGAAGAATTTCCCGAGGTGTGCGTTTAAACACCGGGGGTCCTAGGCATCCTTGCCGCTGTGTTTCTTGCCAGGCAACTTCGAAAAGTGCCCTTCAGGCGAGGTCCCCCAACGACTCAACCGCACTCCAAGAAGCGAAGAAATACCCGCAGCTTCATTTTTTTTGGTCGTTTCACCCCCCGACAATTCCGCTTCCCGCCGTTCACCCAGCGTCCGCTTTTGTCGGATGGGGTATAGTCGGTGTTGCCCGCGCGAACCCGGCTACAGTGGAGGGGCGAAAACTATCGGAGTCGGGGACCCTTATTTAAAAGGAACAGTCGCCCAACCGTTTTGCAGCCCACCGCAACCTTCACGCCACTAAACTCCATAGCTCCCGGTCCCAGCTTCGCCGCTGCGCCGTCACCTCGTGAAGACGCCCGGGTCAGGAGAAACCAGCGAACTGCACCAGTGTTTTCCTTGCGGCGCCCCGATTTTTTCGCGTGCTGTTTCACCCAGCCCGCTTTTGTCGGAGTAGAACAGTGCCGCAACTCCTTTTTTTTTTTCTGAACAGCTGTCGAACGAGCACCAACCCAGGTGCCTTTAACCAGCGCAGGGTAGGCCCGTGTTCACCCCCGTTATTCGGCCAAGTAAGTGACTGCATGAGTCAGAACTAAAACTTGGTGGGGATGGTGAGGTTCGGGCGACGGAAGGTCACAGATCGTTCACACTGGCTTTTAACCTGCTCTTCACGCCGTTCTTCAACCCCCGCTTAGCCGTCGGGCAGTTTCTTCCCGTGTGTCCCGGCGGCCTGTACCACACTCCGAAATTGTCGGCGTAGCACCTTGAACACCGTTTAATCGTGGGCTGCTGCGGCTGTCCCCGAAAACGGCTTCCATGAACGGGAAAACCGATCTCGAAATTGTCGAACAGCTGGCAAACAGCTCCAGGCACGCAGTGTCAAACGAGTGTTTTTCGGGTGTTCAGTCCCGATATGCCCTCGCGCCTGCGCTCCACTCCGCTTAGTGCGATAAAGCCATACGCTTTTTGTTGCAGCCCGTAAGTGTCGGCGGGTCTAAAGTTCCCTTCTGTCCACGTGCACTCCTGCCGAAATACTCGATGACGCACCCGCCATGCAGTAAAAGCCGCTGCACTTCAGGTCGGGCGGGACGACAGTTGACCCCGCATAATTCGGGCAATTCGCGTGTCGTCTCTCCTCGCCACCGACATTTTCGGACGCAAAACACCATTTGCGCCTGGCGAGTTCCCCAGCCGACATTTTCTCCACAGATGCTCCGAAATTGTCGCCCTTGCTGACGCAGACTCCTTGTCGCCAGCTGCCGAAGATCCTTCCGCAGATCTCGCGCACAAGATGACGGCGAGCCACCGTCGTCACTTGTCGCGTGAGGACGATCCCGAAATCTTCGCGCAACTGTTGAAGCAGATCTGCCTACGCCAGCTGCCAAACATGATGACGAAGTCGAGGCCGTTCATGCAGATGCCGACGCAGGTCCGCTGACGCCAGCTGCCACACGAATCAACCTTCGAAATCGTCGGAAAATCGCAGCGGAAATTACTTACGAAAACGTCGCGACAGCTACTGCTGCCCGTCACCCTGGGGGAGGGAGGTCACGGTCGATCGCGACCGTCGAAGGCAAGGATCCGGCGGTGCCGAGGAGTGCACGATAAATCCATGGCCTCGAAGAGCAACTAACCCGTTCTCTTGGCCGGCCTAGGCAACTCCTGGACCCCAGGACATCCTTCCTCGTCCCCCCCCCGAAGGGTATTACACTCTAAAACGCGGGGGGAGCTAGGAAAGTAGCTCTGATACCAGGTGTTATGAATGAACTTGCAGAGTGCGCAGAATATCGAATAACGAGAATGAGAATTACAGAATGACGATACAATGGAGTTGACGAGGCCTAAATAGGGGAAGTCCTAGCTAGGCGGGGAGGTAGGGCAAGATGGCTCGGTGATGGTTGCGATTGGAGCGGAGGCCGATTCGGGAGTGGTTCGGTGCGACGAAGTAGGAAGGACAGGTTCGTCGCGTGATCCTCGGGATGGCCTCGCTAACGAGTGCCTCAGTAAGGATTTGTAAATCCTTACATGAGTGGTGTGGGTGGGGTCTGTGATGTGGGATGGATTTCGCCAAGTGCCACGTCTACCCCTAACAAATCGAAGCGCGCCATGAGAAGTCCATTCACGTAGCCGCGTCGCAGATTCGTGGGCAGTGAGGGAGGTCGGTGAAGCTGATGAGACGAGCAACGGCATTTCGAAATTCACTGCTCTGCTTCTGGCGCACCACTCTGGCTCGCTCCCCAACCCACCCACCTCCAACACCTCCTGTCACTCTTCCCTTGGCACGCTGATACTACTGCCTGGTCGCAAGCATTCAGTCAAAATGGCTTATCGTTACCTTCAGTTCTTTGAACCAGCTTACGAGTTCAGACTGACCGCATAAGGCCAGCTTTAGACAGGTCCAAGAACACAGATAGCTCGATGGCATGCGTAGCATATGCTTGAGGTCCAGCCGACTGCATATATCTCCCCCATGTTCGCACTTCAGACATCAGTCGTCGTTGTCGTCTCGGCCCGGGGTGAAGCTGCGACCAATATTTGATGCATACGGAGACATAACATACTTTACAGGATCCTTCTAGTGATATTTAGGCGCGCTTAGTATCTCTCCGTTTTTCATGGTGGAAGCCGTGCGCCGTGGTGCTCGGCGACTCACGATGTCCCCGTGGCCCCCTTTATCTGCCGCACGCACTCCATGCCTGCACGCGAGTCACTGGACTCTCCGCCGACGGATAGCCGTGTGCTGCCTCGTGATGCATGTCGTGCTACTCAGCAGTCTGGCGCAAGTAGGATGCCAGGGGTACCTGGAGGGCCAAGGCCGAGAGAGAGGAACGGCTTCGAAGCGGGTGCTAACGGCGCAGCAGCAGCAGCAAGGCGGTGGTAGCGTGACGCGGTTGTATCTTCTGCCCGGCAACCCGTACGGCGCCAAGTGTCTTGACGGCAGGTACGGCGCCGGTTCTGTTAGCGACATCGAGACACAGATGTGCCACGCAGATAAGTAGCGGAACCAGGCTGGTGAGGGACGAGGGGGGCGCACAGCTGCCTATGGTTTTGTGCGTGCATCTGCTCGCTCCCCTCCATCTGCCTTCCTTCACGCGCGCGGCTTGTTGAGGGCGATTTGTGGCCCTCTTAGTGCTCCTGCTCCCTGCGCATCAAACTCAAGTCAATCTACCTAGATCAATCTCTCACCACGTCTTAAATTGCTGTACCTCACTGTCGCCCGCTTGCGTCCGTCCACCCCCCCTGGCCTCCCTGTCCGCCCTGCTCCCTTCTCCTTCGCGCGCCTCCCGGGTCGCGCGTGGGCCAGCCCCCCGGGGTACTACCACAGGCCGGGCAATGCGGCGGGCAGCGCGGCGTGGCACATCCACCTGCCGGGCGGCGGGTGGTGCACGTCCATGGCGGGGTGCATGCACCGCGCGCAGACGGACCAGGGCAGCACGCGCTCGCGCCCCACCGTCATCGTGCGGGGCGGCAACGACAGGGACGAGGGCAGCGCGGTGAGCGGGTAGTCATGGGTGGGTGGGCCGGCGGCGGGCTGTAATGGTGGTTGCGGTGGTTGACCTGGCGGTGATGGACCGATGGACTCATTCGACGGTTGGTGGCACAGGCTCCTTGGGATTGACGCGGTCAGACCGCGGGGGCACTGACCTAGTGCGCTCGTTGCACGTGGAATTGGCCAGCGTCGGAATAACAGAGCAAGGAGATTCATTCCCTATCGTCTCCCTTCCCCCGTTCTGCCCCACTCCCTCCGCCAGTCCCCGGCGCGGGGAATAAACTCCCCCGACCCGAAAGTGAACCCGATGTTCCACAACTGGCACCTCGTGCGCCCCATCTACTGCGACGGCGGGGGCTTCGCGGGGCGCGCTGGCTGGCGGGCTGTGCGTGGCGGTGGTGGTGCAGGGAAAGGGACGGCGGGGGTGTACCTGGACGGGTGGAAGATCATACACGCCGTGCTCAACGGTGGGTGCCACGGCCGTGACAGGTGCGCGTGCAGACGTTCACGCGGCGGAAGCGAGAGCGAGCAGCAGCAGTGCATGTGGGGAGCGCCTGCTTGCGCGATTGGGGGAAAAGGAGGGCACGCACGGACTGTGCGTAAAGGGGTGGAAGGTGGTGCGTGCGGAATGGTGCTGTGCAAGGCAAAAGGCACTCAGCAGCACTCCGCACGCACCACCTTCCACTCCTCCGCGCGCACCACTTTGCAGGCAGAATGCGTGGCGTTTAGCAGCGGCGGGGTTGAATGCTTTCCTGCTCCCCAATCACAACCACCAATCCTCACCATCTCTTTACCCACCCAGTTTCCCCCTCACTCTCTCGACTCTCTATCTCATTTCCCCATTGCTGATGCCAACTGCCACGCATCATATGCTTGCATAACACCACTTGTCCCCCTCATACGCGCAGACCTGAAGCAGAATAGGGGCATGGCTGGGGCAACCAGCATTCTATTGACGGGCAGCTCAGCGGGCGGGCAAGCAGTGATAACGCTGTGCGACCGCTTGGCGCTCATCTTCCCGTCCGCCACCGTCAAGTGCATTCTCGACGCTGGCTTCTTCGTTGGTGCGTGCCTCCGCCTCCACGCTGCTCGCATGCCCTCTCATGCGTCACGCCTACGCCTCGCACCTGCCCCTTAGGACGCCGTAAAAGTGTCCATCTCGAGATAGTGATTGTATATCGATTCTCACAATCGCTTTAGGGAATCGATCGATGAAACGATGCACGCCCGTCGTTGTAACGATCGGAAAAAAACAGTGGGGATCAATGTTCCATTCGTGGGGATCGCATTGGCGCGCAGCCCGCTTGACACACTTTCGTACAAGCACAACTTCGGAAATCGCAAAGCACACCGCAACCCGGCTCGCGAATTGACTCCACTCACACGATTTTCGAAACTCTTGCACTTCGCAAGCACGTTGATCATCGTCATAGTAGTTATGCTCGGTTAGTCGCGCATTTGAGTCGCAGTAATGCTGCGATTGATCACCACAAATCGGCGATAGGTCGTCGCATCTGATCTGAATGGATGTGTATTTTAGCCAAATTTGCCAGTAGTCTGGTTACGAGCTGTTGAATAGGATAACCAATCCGCATATCGATCACTTCCGACGATCGATCGTCTACTTTTACCGCGTCCTTATTCTTACATGTGAGCGTCTCACCTGCCTTGCTGCTGGCCTCACGTCTTCCTCGTGCTCTGATCGCATGTCTGTATGCCCACCCCGCATGGCAGATGCGGAGGACCGGTGGCATGGGAATACGATGAGCACCATGGTGCACAGCATGGTGGCCCTGCATGCCATGCGACTCAACCTGCACTGCACACAAGGTCGGCACCTCAAGCTTCATTGCAGCTTTGTTATGGTCACAGTATTTCGCTCTCTCTCTCTCTCTCTCTCTCTCTCTCTCTCTCTCTCTCTCTCTCTCTCTCTCTCTCTCTCTCTCTCTCTCTCAAACGGTCCTTTGTATTATATCAGCCATGGGTACATGCAAATGGGCAAAACCAGAGGCAAACAGCTACAAAGTAGCTACAACCTTCCCTGTTCTACCCCCTACAGCCCTCCTCCCCCTCCCTCTCCACCCCTCTCTCTCTCTCTCTCTCTCTCTCTCTCTCTCTCTCTCTCTCTCTCTCTCTCTCTCCCTCGTATGCACCTCCCTTCCCACTCGCAGCTTGCCTTGCTCAATCTGGACTCACTTCCCTTGCCTGCTCCCTGTCTCCATCTCTCCCTCTTCTCCTTCATCTAGCATACCCTCCGCAAGAGCAGTGGCGCTGTTTCTTCGCGCACCGCTCGCTGCGCTTTGTGTCGTCGCCGCTGCTGGTGGTGAACTCGCTGCTGGACTACCGTGCGCTCACCATCGGCAACCAGCTGCGCCCCAGCGCCACGCTCGGCACTCAGTGCCTGCGCTCCCTGGTGAAGCAGGCCAACGGCGACATCAAGACAATGCTCTGGAGCAAGCAGTGGCGGCTGTGGGGAGCAGTAGGGAAAGAGGCGACTTGGCGGGACAAGGCTGCGGCAGGGAGTGAATGCCAGCCAGCAGAGAGGAGGGCGGTGCTGAATGCTGCATGGAAGGTGCTGCGCAGCACAGATGCTGCGAGGAGGAAGAAAGGGACGCAGATAAGCAACTTCGTGACAGTGGCTGTGGCTCACTGCTCGCTCACGAGCCCCAAGTGGACTGCTGTTGCTGTGAATGGAACAAACTTGAGGGATGCAGTTACCAAATGGTGGCTTGCCAAGGCGCACAAGGTTACACCATCTACTGTCGGTGGTAACGCTCGCTTCAGGCATGCTGGCAGTGCGAGGAAGTCCAACGAGAGCACACGAGGGTCAAGAGGAGCCATGCAGAGGCAAGTGAAGTATTCCTCGAATACGTTGCAGCGGACTGGCTCACAAGGCCAAGCAGCAGATATGCACAATTTTAGACAGAGTCGTGAAGAGGAGAAAGAGAGTGATGCAACAGTGGCTGTTCGGTCAGGACACGCCACAGGTACACACCCTCCTGAAAGTGGCTTGGGAAGCGATGACTCTCTTGGGGACTCTTTATCCGACTGGTTCAACTCATGACACCTTCAAAATGGGTTACCCACTTTCTAAGTGTTTCTGAGAAGTGCGCTAACCACAGAAGGTAGAGTGAGTTTGCTTTGTGTGAAAGCACAGAGATGGTACATATACCTTCATACAATCTATGGTTCGATGCATGCTGGGGCACACACACTGCAAAGAATGTATACTAACAGATTCCTCTGTACATAGGACTCCCCGAAAAGAAGAACTCCCGGGACTCTAACGTGGAAGAGGGAGCCTTGTTTTGGTGTGTTTTGGCGAGAAGTTACCGAAAAAATACTTTTCCTTACTCCGCGCGCGCCCCTGTTTACTGCGTACACTACTGTTCCTGCCAACAGAACCGTTATTACTCGCGACACTCGCCTCGACCACTGTTCCCGCCACTGTTCACATCGCGACCCAACCCAACCTGACGGGCTTGGTTGGTAACCCGCGCTCCGGCCCTCCGGCTCGACCAATCCCCACCTCGGCGCCCCGTCACGCACCCCACATTTCGCGCGTTACCATTACCACGCTAGTTCGCTATATAGCATTCGCTCATTCCTTCGCTCAATGTACTGTTTTGTTTCGATAGTGCAATTTTTGTTCGCTCACTCAATTGCACTCGTAACACTTGGTATTCAGATCCATGACCCTTTTCGGACAGCGCCTGCACCTTCGCTTCTCGCGTTCTCTCAATTTTTTTTTTTAGGGGGGGAGGGGAGAGGGGAGGTGGGGGGGGGGGGGGGGAGTCCCTCAGCGACCAAGCATCGTTGTTTGTGTGCTCTCTCGTTAACACACACTGCCACGACCGAGGCTCTCGCTGAGCTAGCCCGACACCCCCGCCAGGGTTGAATTCGACCACATTCAACTCGCGACGCTAACACAAGAGCGCCTCGACGAGCTTATGCGCCAGCTCGAGGAGTTTACGCTTGAACTCGCGATGCTCACGGCGAAACGCAACTCCGCGCGACAACAATCAAAGACGAATGCACCAACACCAGCACCAACAAACGCACCTACACAAACTGAAGAGCCTATCGTCATTTCATCCGGCACACCATCGCAACACGACAGCGTGGGGCAGCGCTCTGGCACAACCAGCGATGGCGCCGCCAAACCCATGCCGGGAATGGAGAGAACCACGGAGATGCCGGGCGCAAACTGCGGAGATAACTAAAACAACGGGAGCTTCTACGGGGAAGGCACGGGGTGTTAGGGTGATCTCTGCGTTCGTTCCTTGAACGTTTACTCGTGCTCTCCTACTTGCTCATTCACGGGGAATTTCGGCAAGAGTTTCACTAGCAAAAGTTCACAACAATTGTTGCAACAACATTGGCAAGAGAGACTACATCAGAGTTAGCAAGCATGCAGGTCGACCTCCAGCGCAGCACGGTCGACCGCGTTCCAGCGCTGCAGAGCTCGCACCGCTCCAGCGCAGCAGAGAAGCGGCTTGGTGCATGGCACCGGTGCACCTGCTTCGCATGTGCACACGGCTGGTTGGTGTGCCACGCCCCATCACGTACACAGCGCAGCCGCCAGGTTGAGAATACACCAGCGACTGCGCCCACCAGCCACGTCGACCCCGGGATACCACTTTTGAGGTCAGCCTCGTAGAAAACACCCCGGCTACCATCGCACACTTCGCCCGGGTAACTCGGTTGACCGAGCAACCACACCTGGTCTGCCAGCCCGGTCGGTCGCCGGCTACACAAGGCCGGCGTCCCCAAAGTCGGCACCAGCAGGTCGGCGCCTCCCAGGTCGGCCTCGCCAGGTCGACCGCCTGAACCTGGTGCCCTCCAGCTCGGCGCCCTGCAGCTCTACGCCCTCCTGCCCGGCGCCGAAGCCCTCTCCCAGGTCGACGTCGGCGCCTCCCGAAGTCGGCGCCCCTCCCCCCGTCGACCACCAGGTCAAGTCGGCCGCCGAATCCCCGGAGTTGGCGGCGTTGCAGTGGCCCAGTGCCCAAGTCGGCGTCGCCCACTGCTTCTGTTCGGTTGCACCTCCCGTACATCCGCCTAGTGAGGAGGGGGCCAACACACAACATCAAATAGTAGCCAGCTGAGGCGTGCTCATCCCAATCTTCCTGGAGCGCGAGGTCACTCGGTCTAGGCTCCATCCCAATAATTAGTTTCAGCAAACCGATCTGACGGAAATCGAGTTGCATTTTTCAGGCCCAATCATCATAGCCCTCACAATTGAAATTCTTGATGGTGAAGTTCTCCAGCACCTCCTTGATCAGCGAGCCCTGGTTTGTTCGCGCTCCCCTTGGTGCCGAAACACCAGAATCTTGGCTGCCGCTACGATGGGCTGAAGATTCACTAGCTCCGGCCGAAACCTTTCCCGCCATGGCTACTTATAACGAGGATCGTTATGACGCAGCTCTGATACCAGCTTGTTGGTGCAAGGGCCAAATAAACCCAGGCTATTAAGACTTAATCAAACTTAAAACCTCTCCCCGGGGTCACCTCCAAGTGCCCTTGGGTGCCTCGTACAAGACCAGCTTTATTCTCGGGTCCGAGTTTGTAGAGAGAGGAGTCAAGAATAACGAGATCACCTTGTATGTCGCGCAGCGTATCGTGCAGATTGTCGATCGGATTAAGCTGAGAATTTCCTATATTGAAGCTTGCTCCAAGACTTTAAATTTTGCCAAGTTGCCTTGCGAGAAGTTATGCCATTGCAGAGTTATGGCTCGGACAGCGTTTGCCTAGCGTCGTAGCATTAGCGTACTAGCGTTGACTCGAAAGCATTCCGCCGTCGCACCTCGTAGAAACGAAATTCCAACAATGAAGAATTTTGCTTGATTCAATACGACTATATTTAGATTACAAACAGTGAAGGATTAAATAGCTAGAGCTAGTAGGGTTCTTGGGAATCAACATGGAAACAACCAGGGTTCTTACGACTATATTTATTCCAAGCAACAGCACCAACCTGGCTGGACAAAACAGCAGGTGGTAGGTTGGTAAACAATCTCTGGTTATGTTTTTCCAACATGGAGAAAACAAACAACCAGGTTCAGGTGCGGAGCCTGGGGGTGCTGAGCCTGGGGGTGCGGAGCCTGGAGGTGCGGAGCTTGGGGGTGCGGAGACTGGAGGTGCTGAGCCTGGGCGTGAGGAGTCTGGGGGTGCTGAGCCTGGGGGTACTGTGTCTGGGGGTGCTGCACCTGGGGGCGCTGAGGCGTCTGGTGAGCAGTCTCCCTGGAGCGGCCGTCTCCGTAGTCGCTCCGCTGGTACCTCGCCGCTGCACTCTCGTCGTCGACTCCCTCTCTCCCCACAGCAGCTGCGTGAGTGGTACGTTGGCCGTCAGGGTCGCGCTGCTGGAGCTAGGGGCCCTGCTGCGGGAGGCGCTGGAGCTGGTGACTCTGCTACTGAAGTTGTTTCTGCTGGAGGTTCTGGAGCTGCTGAGGGTGCTGGAGCTGGAGGTTCTGGAGCTGCTGGAGGTGCTGGCGCTGGTGGCGCTGGAGCTGGAGGTTCTGGAGCTGCTGAGGGTGCTGGCGCTGGAGGTTCTGGAGCTGCTGCGGGTGCTGGCACTGAGGGTTCTGAGTCTGCTGTTGCGCGGTCTCCTTGGAGTAGCCGCCTTCGTCCACGTGTGCCTCTCACCTCACAGCAGCTGCACGACTGGTACGGTCGCCGTCAGGGTCGCGCTTCTGGAGCTCGGGGCTCTGCCGCTGGAGGTACTTCTGCTGACGTCACTGGACCTGGGAGTGGTGCTGGTCCCGGAGGTGCTCGTACTGGAGGTACTGGAGCTGCTGGGGCTGGAGGTGCTGAGCCTGAGGGTGCTGCTGCTGGAGACACTGAGGCTGGAGACCCTGGGACTGGAGGTGCCGGTTCTAGGGGTGCTGCTGCTGGTGGAGCTGGTCCTGGACGAGCTGGAGCTGAGAAATCTGGAGGTGCTGGAGCTGCTGGGGGTGCTGGAGCTGCTGGTGCTGGTAGCACTGCACAGCCGCGCCTGTTCTTTGCTCCACCGTCTCCGTCGTCTCAGCCACCGTCTGACTCTGTGCTTCGCCAGGTTCTTAGTCTCCCTTCGTCTACTGGTCTTCCGTTACAGCCTGGCTCACCGCTGCCTGCTCCTTCTCCTTACACTGAGCAGACAGGGGGTCTTACTGAGCGTCGTGAGCCTGCGTCGCGTCCTGTCTCGCCTGTCCGTTCTGGTCGTTCCGGTCGTCGTGTTCCTCGTTCGCGTCAGCCGGCTGTCTCCGGCACCCACCTCGTCGTCCGTCGTCCTTCCTCTCCTCCGCAGCATGTTCCCCTGCCGTCCCCTCCTGCGTCTTCTCCGCCTACCGTTCCTGAGCCTGAGTCTGACCGCACCCGTGCTGCTCACTCTACTGTCACGCGTCTGCTAGCCACAGTTGTCACTGACCCGTCGTTTGGGTCTGCTGCTGCGTCTGCCTTAGTCGCTGAGCTTGTTGACTTTGCTGCTGCCTGTCGTCTAGACTACGCCGCTAGTCTTGTTTCTGAGTCTGAATCTGTCTGTCCTCCGTCCGTCGGGGGTGAGTGTGCCCTTAGCACGGACGTCCTTGAGGACAGGCAGGAGGACCTTGAGTGTCTTGCAGCCGCTGCGCCTCATCTCGTGTCTATGCTGCTTGCCCCTGAGGGAGACCCGGATGCTCCAGACATCCCGACCCCGCGCTCTTACGCTGAGGCGATCGCGGGTGAGTACTCCTCTCAGTGGCAGACAGCCATGGACGCAGAGATGGCATCCTGGAAGTCCACAGGCACATACGTCGACGAGGTTCCCCCTCCTGGGGCGAACATCGTCAGTGGCATGTGGATTTTCAGGGTGAAGCGGCCGCCAGGTTCTCCGCCTTTCTTCAAGGCTCGTTACGTTGCTCGAGGCTTCAGTCAGAGGGAGGGAGTCGACTTCTTCCAGACCTTCTCCCCCACCCCGAAGATGACCACTCTTCGGGTGCTGCTGCACGTTGCCGCTCAGCGTGACTACGAGCTTCACTCTCTTGACTTCAGCACAGCCTTCTTACAGGGCAGCCTGCACGAGGAGATCTGGCTGCGCCGCCCACCTGGCTT